TCGTTCGACTTCACTTCTTGAAAGTGATCTTCCTAGTTTATAACTAGATTCTGCGCGCAGGGTACCATTTGGAGCCAGTTTCCAAAGCACTCCGATGAATGATTGATTGCATTAAAGGGACAACAAGGCCTGTAGAGAGAAACCTTTTCTTTTCTTATGGAGCTAGCAGGGCAACGTTTGGCTTAACATTTCAATTGGGATACCTATTTTCGTAAATTTATTGATAAGCTATCATTTTCAGCAGTAGGGAGTGTAACTTCAGTTCAGGGCTTCTATAAAAGAAGTCCCACCTATAGATTTTAACATCTACCATGTTTTCAAGAGGGAAATCAGCTAAAATAATGTTCATCCAGGGTTTTCCTTGGGGATTATGAAAGTATAAGTTAGTCTTCATGAAATATCCAAACTGGAATATCTTTTAGTCTGGTCCTTGATCGGTCAGCATTAATTGTTGCACCTTTAATTTTTATCGTATCTATAAAAAATTAGCTTCTTCATGGCACGTAAAAACAGCTCTCACGATCTACAAGTCACATTGTTTATACTTTCTAACTTGCGATTTTCAGAGGTTGTTTGTAAGATTTGTATACTGCTTGGTGATTTATGTTACAGAATTCCTCAAGACAATCCTCGGAAATCCACCGGATAGCTGCTAGTGTGATATTCATCTACGTATTCACAACATTGGACATTTCAACTATATTAAATCCCCACATGCTTCTCTTCATTGGACTTACTCAGTGCGCATGGGGTCTGAGTTGACCCCCCTACTTTTTCTGTAATACACTACAGTTTTTAAGAGGGTTAGGTCACCGGATTAGAAGCATTTGCGCAATGGCACCTTTGCACAAGAATAGTTCAAAGGATTCCACCCTTCTATTAACTCTGCCTCTCTGGCGTTTCGATGAAATCCCATCCCATCAACATAAAGCAGGCAGATTATAGTTTATCAGTGGCTACAAAAGCAACATAAACCACTAGTGGACACCCTTAGAAAGGATTCTTCGACCCTTATGCAACCATTATTGTGAAAACAGCACACACCCTCGCCTTCCTCCGAGTTTCACTAGTCCGACTCAAACGAACTATAAGGGTCTACGGGTGAAAGTCATTGCACCTGTCTGGTAAAACTTAATGAACTATCCACTTCTCTTCTTCGAAGACTGGTCCATAAAACATTAACATAATTTGGCCAGAAAACAAATTGAACCATCAACAGCCGAGAGCTATTTCATTGTTACGAAAGACTGGACATATCTATTCCGCACACGTTTTACTAACAATCTCAGCATATTAGGCATTGACCATCATTAATATAAGGGGATTTTCCTCCGTACCGGTCCAAGTATACAAGCTGCTACCGCACGAATAGGGGACCATCTCATTAAAAATTCGTTCCAAGGTCTAGAGCCAGACATAGCGAAAGACCCAAACATCGGGTAGAAATAGTCTGACGTTAACACAGAGGATTACTGATCTCTCTGAGAGTGGAGTAAGCAAGGCCTCGGCAACGGTGTATCAATCTGAATTTAACTCGTATACGTTATTTTTTAATGCAAAACAATAGTAGCCATACAAAAACAATGTTCCATGTTTCAGCGAAAAACTACTTCTTTATTTTGTTGTAATAGCATATTAATATCTTCTATTACAATTGGGGTTCCCATATGCTTCACTAATTTCACTTTTCCCAGTGAAATATCTGCTTCGCACATGGGTTGGCAATTATTCGTTTCAACTCATTCTTCCCCAACTGCAATTCATTACATTTTAATGATAGTGCAGCTGCTTCAAGATAAACCAGTTCATAGTATTCAATTATGTAAATATATATCGCTTTCTATGTACATAATTGTCTCCAATTTCAAACAATCATGTTCGCAACGCGACTTATCTAGCTGATAAGACAGGTACACTCTACGGTTTACCGTCATGATTGTTTGAAAGTGAATTAGGTTTACTTGGGCTTTTTCCCGACAATCACGGTCCCGCAGGGCCACAGTTCCGCAGAGCTGGCTGGAGGACCCCGCGCATGGTCTCAACTCTAGCACCGATTGTCTCCTAAGTTAATACCACTTAATGACTTATGCATATACGCAATTGCGTCACAACGGTGACTTCGCTATCATTTTTCAATGAACATTCTTTTGAGGCATAGGGAATAAAGCCAATTAATAGTTGATTGTATATATTTGGATGCAGAATTAAATATATTCATATTTTCTTGTTTCTAATTGATTGTTTTGTTGTTAGACATAAATTTTAACTTATTTTAATAAGTTTAGTTTATGGATAACGAAATAAACCACGCCTGCCTAACCTTATATAGAGTTTGGCGTGACTTGTTTGACATGTTGTGGTTGCACACGGATGCACACGTATTATTAGAGCTATATTTGTAAAGTTATTTCTTCTTTCAAATGTAACCAAGCTGAATACACGTTGGTCTACATTTGTAATTCAAGTATCCACCGCCATCCCCATCCTCATCACCTTCATTGAATTTTGCTAGTACGTTTTGGCATAGTTTGTTTTCAAGTTGCAATTATTCGTTTCAACTCATTCTTCCCCAACTGCAATTCATTACATTTTAATGATAGTGCAGCTGCTTCAAGATAAACCAGTTCATAGTATTCAATTATGTAAATATATATCGCTTTCTATGTACATAATTGTCTCCAATTTCAAACAATCATGTTCGCAACGCGACTTATCTAGCTGATAAGACAGGTACACTCTACGGTTTACCGTCATGATTGTTTGAAAGTGAATTAGGTTTACTTGGGCTTTTTCCCGACAATCACGGTCCCGCAGGGCCACAGTTCCGCAGAGCTGGCTGGAGGACCCCGCGCATGGTCTCAACTCTAGCACCGATTGTCTCCTAAGTTAATACCACTTAATGACTTATGCATATACGCAATTGCGTCACAACGGTGACTTCGCTATCATTTTTCAATGAACATTCTTTTGAGGCATAGGGAATAAAGCCAATTAATAGATGATTGTATATATTTGGATGCAGAATTAAATATATTCATATTTTCTTGTTTCTAATTGATTGTTTTGTTGTTAGACATAAATTAATTATATCACCATATTTTGAAGATCCACTGTTGTTATTGTACGAAACACCTGCAGTCTAATAACTCTGCACACTGGTCTGCATCAGCGATACTAATCTGGCACGTACACAATTATAGTTATAGTTACATTGTCATAGATGCACAAACACTCGCAGTTTGTAGCTCCTGCACACTGGTTCACACTATCGATATATAAACGGATATGTACACGTATTGTCTGTAGTTACGTCAAATGTTCATTTTACAGATACACAATTCTTACGGTACGAGTAGCTCCTGGACTCTTGCAATAATGTCGTATTCACATCACAGATTTTAATCACACGTATAATTGTCCTCATCAGTAAGAACAATAGCACGTTAATATACACACTTGTTTCACTTTTTGTAACGATTATTAGTTCTTCATTAGTAATTCAAGGCAATACTCCAACTCTAAAAAAGTTCGGGCCATACAACAGGTTATCACAAAGATTGGATCCAACAACCCCCCAGAATCTTCAAATCGCAAGATATCCTGTATTGTCAACCAACTAATTAGTGGACATACCCAACTCAATAGCCACCAAGCCAAAATCAACCCAAACATTACATCAAATCTCTGTGAGTACTGCAATAAACCAGAAACTGTCGACCACTATATTAATACATGTGGTCTCTTTGAGCTGGAAAGACAAGAGCTCTACTCGAAAGTTGACAATATACTCCTAGGAGAAAATACAAATCCACTACTGGATCTACAGACTCTAAGTGGTCGTAACATAAACCTGTCACAATCAACAAACAGGACAATATTTCATGCCTTTTGCAATTACATTAGGCAAACCAGGAGATTTTAAATGAGCACATATAAAAACTGTATATAATAGTATAAGGAATTTTAGACTTTTGATAAAGAACAAGTGAATAAGTATCAAGAGCAAGCACAAGGGAATTACCAGTAACACGTGACCAATAAGCGGCATTATAACGCTATAAAGGATACAAACAAACAAACAAATTCTTCATCAGTTAGTAAAAGTTGAAACTATTGTCACAATTTTCACAAAGTTTCACTATCACTATGCAGTCACATAAGTCCATAACTGTTGTAGAATATCTCATATTCTAGTTAACTTTTATTTCACATATCTCAAATGATGCACAATTCACTTCATATATATCAAAAATATCACATTCTACATTTGTGCTTTTCTAACTCTCTAAAACTCAGTTCACTTCTACTTTTTTTCCCTACATGTCTACTCTATATCACATATATGGCTTGTTCCCAGTTTCTACACTTAAAATTACAGTACTAATTTTGACCTAATTTGGTAATAAGTGAATGTAAGAATTTGTAGGAAAGGCCAGGGTAATTAAAAATTTGAGGTATATTAGGCTAAACCAATTTAATAAGGTAGTATTTGTGACACCCATGTTATTTTTCAATAGGGAAACTCATGCGATCCATTGTTTTCAGTTACTTTTGGTCACCCAGAATTGGTATCTTTAAAATCCCTGCTTGAAATATATTTTCTTTTTAAGACCTTTTCCTAACCCTACAAATGCAACATATTGATTCATAAAACATTGAAAAAATGAGTGGAAGGGGATGAAAATCAGGAATATATTTTTGAAAAAGGTCCAAATTATTTGATTGTCTCTTTAAGTACTTTTTTTAGATAATGCATTGGCCTAACATATGCCCACAAGGTCCTTAAAATGCCAAATACTTGAGACCTTTGGTCACCAATTGTCACAGCAGCCTCAAGGACCTTAAACAATCAAATACCTAGATATTGACCTTTGACCTAGGAATGACCCTTAGACAGACAGCGTATGAGTACAAAGGAACAAACTGGGGTGAAAAACACCTTACAATGGTTCAATGGAATTTATATGATAATACAGACATCACATTTTGTTTATTTTTAGTTGGGACAAAACCCTCTGCACCAAGAAGAGTGTGGCTAGAATCTGAAACGATGATTGGTAATACTACTAAAACTGCCTATAACATCATTGTTGTTTCTTGGGAAACAAACAAAGGTAACATTATCCCACCAAAATATAATCTTTGGTAACTCAAATACTTAAATCAATATCTAAGCACAAGTGTTAAATGGTAAACCTGTCATAATGAGAAGAATAGACCCTATTTATTCTAAAATCATGATCTAACCTGATAAGAAATAATGTCTAACACCCCATTCCGGTGACAGCTTAACTCAACCCCAAGTTAACTCAACTCAACCCTGTAAAACTTAAAACCCAGTAAAACTCATCCCCATTCATTTCTGCAATGTCATAAGTCATGTTAGTTCATAGTCATTGTATACTTCGATAATACTTTGTAAAAATATTTGACAGTCAAACATATTTTATGCAATGCACATCGCACATATGCACATTGCATACACAATGCACATCGGACATATGTACATTGCATACGCAATGCACATCGTACATATGTACATTGCATACGCAATACACATCGCACATATGCACATTGCATACACAATGCACATCGGACATATGTACATTGCATACGCAATGCACATCGTACATATGTACATTGCATACGCAATACACATCGCACATATGCACATTGCATACGCAATGCACATCGTACATATGCACATTGCATACGCAATGCACATCGCACATATGAACATTGCATACGCAATGCACATTGCACATATGCATATTGCATACGCAATGCACATTGCATACACAATGCAAATCGCACATATGAACATTGCATACGCAATACACATCGCACATATGCATATTGCATATGCAACGCACATTGCATACACAATGCAAATCGCACATATGCACGTTGCATATGCAATGCACACCGCAAAGTACAAAGTACACTATACATGTACCTGCATGTATATTTTTGGGAAGTTTGGATGAGTTCTGGAATATGTGACCACTTGATTTGCCTTTGAAATGTTAATATACTCATTACACTTTTGTAACATAACAAACATGAGAAGAATTTTAATCTGAAACTAATTCTCGCTCCATATACCAAACAATACATTTGAGAAGTGGTCCTAAGTACATGCTCATGAAAAGTTTGTATGTATACAGGTAGTTGTTCCCTTGGTGACACAGTTTTCTCCTTATATTGTTAAATGACCATATATACACTGTAACAGCTCATTCTTTCCTCACCTAGCTTTAAGTCTGTAAACAAGTCACTTTTCTGCATGCATCAAGGACACTTAATGCTGTTAAGTCTGATAAATGATAGTAATATCTTTTTTTTCTTTCTAGAACAGAGTTGCCAATACAGAGTGGAATATGCAAAGATGGATAGCAAGGACCCCAATGATAAAGAACAATATCCGGACTACCCTTATGTAAGTTTAGGTAATTCTCAGCAATAGAAAAGACCGAATATTGCTTTTGGGATAAAATCAATTGGCCTTTACATATTCTTCACCCTACCTTTTTGTAATTTAACAATCAAGTGACAAATAGTATACTTTATAATTTATAACATATTTTTTTATTGATAAAATATTGGTCATAAAATCGGCGAACAAAGATTAAAATGTTTTCAAATTTTGCCAGTGATCCGATTTTAAATGATCTTCAAATGATAACTATGATTTCCATTGGAAATGTTTTGACTTCCCCGGCTCCGATTTATGAAAAGTATATTGTCACCATTTTCTAGACTCTTAAACTCACTTCTGGTTTATCAAAATAAAGATGAACTGAATAAATTCTATAACACTTTCAACTCTCAGTTCAAGCACAACTTTTAAAGGTTCAACTTGCTACTTTGAATGGTCCTTCATTCTTTTTTAAAAATAGAATCATCAGAGAAGATTTTAAACCATGCAATTGTCTATTAAGGCAGAAATATATTTTTAACTATTTTCGGCTTTTCTGCACAATGTGCTTTGTTCATCATATCCAATAGATAAAAGCTTTTCAGTTCTAAATGATTTTTAGATAAACCAGCGTTAGTAAAATTCAGAACAATATAAAACTCACAGCATCCATAGACAAACCTGTTAATCCAAATTTTGGGGTAAAGATTATACATGTAGTTTCTTGTGAAGATCTTGAAGTTGTGACACCATTTTGTGACCACAAAAAGCAGTTCAATTTAATATGAGCTAACTGTTTCTTTCTAATTCATTCCATTCTGTACGTTTAGCATGAAATGAGTTTCTAATGAAGAATTATAAAATTGTTTATCTTTATACAGTACACAGGATGGAAAGTGAGGCTGCATTTGGATTCTGGGAGTAAATACATTGTGAATGTCAGTGCAATGTCACCCGATTACGAGCCAAGTCCAAACTCAACAACAAGCTTACAACTGCTTACTAAACACTGTGTGGAGATAAGTCAACACAGAAGAACACAATGCAGTAAGTAAAGCCATAGGACATTTAATTAGGGACTCTTCAAGATAGTTGCTCAATGTGAAATGACTTAATTGTTATAGTCTCCAACTTTTTGTTGACAGCATTAGGACATAGACATCTGTCAAGAAGGATGAATTTTCAAAATGACTGTTGATTTCAAAATGGCAGCTATTATTTCATATCATATGTATGTTTGAACAATTTAAAGATAATTTGTCAGATTTGGTTCCTATTTTAAGAACCAATATGCAGTATTGGCATTGGACTAAACTTGTCAAGAAGAAATATTGAATTCAAAATGACCAACATTTTTCATTACAACTGAAATTTAAAGTGAAAACTGTTGAAACGTTATAACTGTTTTCACTTTAAATTTTTAGTGATCATTGATGCAGTATGCATTTGAAACGTCTAAAATAAAAAATAAAATACAGTCTGACAATGAATACTAATTAACAGAATGCACATTAAGTCGTTTATAATATCCTTATTGAATTTAAGGTTCTAAGATGATTGCCTGGACAACTCAATTTAGTATTGCCAGCATATGGGAGAATCATTCATGAACATATAAATAATATGTATGAACAATGACTTAATAGTGAAATAGAAGGGCCTGTTGAGCAAATAATCTGTAGAGATCACTGATCATGATTAATGTACATCATATTTGAATAAGCTACTTCAAATATAACATGCATTATCAGTTCTTCAACATTTCCCTTTTATATCAAGTAGATAATTGAAAATCCTCAACATAACAGGTTCAGTTCAATGGTTAATACTTAATTATCCCATCGAACGAAGTTCGGAGGGATATAGGGAACGCCTCCGTCCGTCCGTCCGTCCGTCCGTCCGTCCGTCCGTCCGTCCGTCCGTCCGTCCGTCCGTCCGTCCGTACGTACGTCCGTCCGTCTGTCCGTCCGTCCGGGCAATAACTCAAATACCGTTGGCCCGATTTTGTTCATATTTTGTACACATATACCCTATGGGGGTAGAAGTTCTGCTCGAAAGCCGATTTTCAAAATGGCCACTCATTTCAAAATGGCGGCCATTTTAGTGACGATTTTACAGTAATTTAGGTGCAATATGTAAAACTGTAATAGCAATATGTTTTAAATGTAAAAAAATTACAAAGGACATTAATAATGCTACAAATGTAGATATTAAAGAAGCACATGGCAGCCATCTTGAAAAATGGCCGCCTTTACTCGTCATTTTACGATTTTTGCTGTAACTCAAAAAATAGTGGAGCGATTTTGTTCATATTTGGTATGTGAATACTATAAGCAGTGCACACTGTCTAAAGACACTTTTGGTAGAAGGTGGCCATTTTGAAAAATGGCCGCCATTTTAACGTATTTTACTATAACTCGAAAAGTAGTGGAGCGATTTTGTTCATATTCGGTATGTGAATACTATAAGCATGGCACACTGTCCTATGACACTTTTGGTAGAAGTCTGCCATTTTGAAAAAAATTTTGAAAAATGGCCGCCATTTTAACATATTTCACATTTTAACATATTTTGCTATAACTCGAAAAGTAGTGGAGCGATTTTGTTCATATTTGGTATGTGAATACTATAAGCATGGCACACTGTCCTATGACACTTTTGGTAGAAGGCAGCCATTTTGAAAACAATTTTGAAAAATGGCCGCCATTTTAACGTATTTCACTATAACTCGAAGTGTAGTGTAGCGATTTTGTTCATATTTGGTATGTGAATACCATAAGCATGGCACACTGTCTATTTCTAATGACGCTTTTGGGAGAAGGTGGCCATTTTGAAAAATGGCCGCCATTTTAACGTATTTTACTATAACTCGAAAAATAGTGGAGCGATTTTGTTCATATTTGATATGTGAATACTTTAAGCATGGCACATTGTCTAATAAAACTTTGGGGAGTAGTCGGCCATTTTGAAAAATGGCCACCATTTTTATGTGTGTTTTATGTGTGTTTACAAGTACGTGTGTGATTTTTCAAAAATTTTAGAGGTGGCTACTTTAAAGCATATTATTTTTTCTGATGACAACTTGGCTAGTGAACAACCATTTTGAAAATGGTGGCCTTTCTGGTGTGTTGTTTTATGATATTTGCGCTTCGTTTTTAAAAACGCCAGCCATTTCTGTTCGATGGGATTCGCTACGCTTTGGCGTTGCTGTTGTTCTGGTTGATTTTTATGTTTCATCTTTTTTCCAATTCTAGTACCCGGTCAACCAAAGTTCAGCAACTTCAACTTCAGCAAAAGCAGAAATACAACCTTCAGAGAGTTGTACAATGCATTTATTATGTGGCAGCCTCCGAAAGTTGGAGCAGACATTGTTGAATATTACAAAATAGAATGGCATCGCCGACCAAATTTTGATGGCCCCCTTAGCATAGACAAGACAGTTCCACATAACAGCGACAATATGGAAATTACAACCGTGAGTATACACTTAATATAAATGATGTTGTCTCTCTACAAGAAAAGCATCTTTCTAGAGAAAAGATTGAAATACATAGTTTATTCATTTTCATTGCAAGTTGTACATGGTGATTCATACATTTCAGAATTCTACCCATTATCTGATCCCTGATCTGTGGGGATCTTATGTATATGAGGTGTCAATCAAGGCAGTGTCACTGGCTGGGGAAGGCGAAGCAGTATTACACAGCAAGTTCATTGGGAAGAAATCACCAACTACATTAGGTACAGTATTTTGTTTGCCACCAATGAAGATGAGCAATGCCTCTTGGGTATATCCTGTATATAAACGGTTGTAATTAACGCATTATCATGGAAGGCAGATCCAGGAACCTCTCCTCGAAGGAGCCCTGTGTTCTTTAATATACACTCATACATAGGCATCAGTGTTTTTCCTAAGCAAATATAAATCACAGGACCAATGGACTGGCAATATCAAAATTTCAACCAGTCCAGGCTAAGCATCATCAGTCATCTGGACCTGTAACTTCTGCTACATCACAGGTCCAAGTGAAAACCAACCATGCAGTCCTTAAAATATTAAAGTTACTTCGAATTCAGAACTATATGTATTGGCACTTACCTAAAGGATAACTACGTATGATTTACATGTATACCATTATCACTATGTGTTTGTTATTATTCTCATCTTCACATCCTTGCGGTTTTTTATTGAAAATAGACCACATTTTGTGACATTTGTCAAAAGTTCAAAAAGAAATTTAAAAAATTAATACAGGAACCGGAAATTACTTTTGCTACTCTGGACGAAAGCAAATGTAGTTTGTATCTTCACCCGGGATTGTTTAACCTCTATTTATCCTACTCGATCAATTTATGAATCCCCATATAATTTCTCGTTATAATTATATTTATTTAATAGTTAGTGGACAGTAATGAAGCCCCCGTGTTGGAATTCCCGGTTAATTTGCTTCAATAATCAGAAATTTTACACCGAACGAAATACCATATGGTCACTACTCACAATTCATTTCGACCAATCAGAAAACAGTTTTTCGAAGTTATTGATAGATTATGCTATGCAATTTATCCTCGTTTGCACACCTGAAACTCAAAAAATATTTCAAAAAATCCTGTCTGTTTTAAAGATTTTCGATGTGATAATGAGTAAAATCTTGAGTAAATGAAGTTCAACGATCGGACTGATGTTTTAGGTAAGACTTTGGTGCATATATTAGCCATGGGACTTGGACGGTCTTGTGGACTGGTTGGTTGGAATAAATCGTCAGTCCTGGGTCAACATCATCGGAAATGTCCCATGGTCCGACGCTTAGGAAGAACACTGATAGGCATACAAATAAATACACACCACAGTCTTTTTACGGGTCGTGGACCACTCAGTCAAACACCCTGAAGTACTTTACGCAACAAGCAAAGTGCCTAAGCTGGGGGAATCTGGGACCTATGCGTAATTGGTACATGTGCTCTACAGCTGATCTATACAGTTGGACTATTATTGATGTTATTAGTATTGGTTTATCAATTTATATTCATTCTTGCACATAGACTATAATGGCTTCTGTATGAATGAAATGTCCCTTGGAGTTATGGCCCTGGGTTGTCATACTGGCATTTGTATGATTTGATCATGTTGGACTCTGGTTTGGGATAGTTGGTTTGTTATCCCAATTAGAAGGAAGTTCTTTACGAACGTAGTGAAGCCATCTGTCTGTTTGTCCATCAGTACGTCCATCAGTCCCTCTGTCCCTCTGTCCCTCAAATACTAGTTGACAGATTTTCTTTATATTTTGGGGAAAGATGTATATTGATGAATAGTTTTACGCAATAAAAAAATTATTTAGATGGTCACTGCTTTAAAATTTTTCGCAAAAATCTAATGTTTTTCATTTTAAACCAAAGCAATAAATATTATTATTTGAAATTATGATAGTAAATTCACCAAAAATATCTATTTCACATGTTTTTCAGATGTTTTTGAAGTATTGCTTTATTATACTCATATGAAAGGCAATTAAGAGTAGTTTGCAAATATTGTATGATTTTTCTGATTTGGACCTTGCAAAATTAAAAATGGCTGCCTTATGTGGGATTTCGCAATAATTTTCTGATCTATTAGAAGTATAGGTATATTATAGTCAAATTGAAGGAATTTTTAAAGTACATCACTATTATGGTATTGTTTTTCCGATTTGTGCCTCGGAAAATTCAAAATGGCTACCTAGAGCAGGAATTCGTCATTACTTTATCTTTAAAGTATGGTTACATGATACTACAATGATCTCAAGTATTTATTGAAGGGAAGAGTAAATGAATTTATTGTGATTGTACAGATTCATGATTTATATAGTGTTTGCTGGGATTATATGTATGCCAATAAACTTGTACATGTAGTATTTCCACCCATCATGTTAAACATCATTTTGTTCCTTATGGTCAGTTACATAAGATTGCAAAATTTTAGAATCCAGTGGTGTCCCTGAAAAAAGATGCTATACAGTATATCAAAAATTTGGGTACGGGTCATTTTGAGGGCAACTTCTGGTCATTTCGAGGGCAATTTAAAGGAAAAATTTGCAATGTTTCAGAATCCAGTGGTGTCCCTGAAAAAAGATACAATGTATCAAAATATGTGGTTACGGATCATTTTGAGGGAAATTTCTGGTCATTTCGATTTACCACTATTCCACCTTTAAAAATGTCCTTAAAAAGTAAGTACATTTTTCAGTATATTTTGGGACTGAAATTTGCTCTTAAAAAGTAAGTTTATTTTTCAGTTCATAAATATACAGAATATTTTTCAGTATATACAGGGTGGGTCAAAAAACCATCCCCTAGACAATATTCCTGATAAAATTATTTATTTTTTAATAAACACACCAACAATGATATATCATTTTAAAGACAATTTAATTTGCAAAAAAATGATATGTAATAGAACAATTTTCAACATTCCCATTTAGAGATTTAACCAATTATATGACATAGGGGTAAAAAACACCTTCTCCATTTTCATCGATTTTGTGAACAATAGCCTATTTCTACCAAATTTTACTGTTTACTTAAAAATTGCAAAATGTTATGAGCCTTTCAATAATTCTCTTTTACTTGATAGCACTTTTGTACATGAAGTAAAAGGGTTGATTAGAAATATAAATGAACATGAATTAAACCAGATTAACTCAAAACAATTAAAATGGGAATTTTTGAAAGTCAAAATTAAAGAATTTGCAATTCAATTTTCAATCAAAAAATGTTCAATTTCAAAGAAAAAATTACATGTTCTAAATAAAGAGCTTGATTTAATACAGAGTAGTGATCATACTTCTGACACTACAAAAGCTAGAGAGCTTGAAATTTTATCTATTTTTGAAAAATACCTTGAAAGCAAAACAAAGGGTGCCATCTTAAGGTCAAAAGAGCAAGAAATAGAATTTGGAGATAAAAACTCAAAATATTTTCTGAATTTAGAAAAAGCACGTCAGGCAAATAATACAATTACATCATTGAAATCAGAAAATGGTATACTTAGATTAGATGAGGATATTTTGAAAGAAGAAATTAAATTCTATAGCGAATTATATAGATCAAAATCCCAACCAACCAATAAAGTAAAAAATTATTTGAATTCAATTAACTTTCCTAATACATTAGCTAAACAAGATAATGACATCCTTGAAGGTGTTATCAATAATAGTGAGTGTTTACCTGTTATCTCCAGTATGAAAAAAGATATTTCCCCAGGATCAGATGGTTTAACCACTGATTTCTATAAATTCTTTTGGAAAGATATACATATTTATGTTATAGAAGCAATTAATGAGTCATATGAAGTTGGAATCTTACCAACGTCATTTCGTAAAATTATCATATCTTTGTTATTCAAAAAAGGAGACCGTGAACTATTAAAAAATTATCGTCCAATATCATTATCTAATACAGATTATAAAATTTTTGCTTTTATCTTGGCAAAAAGACTACAAAAGGTTATAGGTAAATTAATTGGTATGCAACAAACGGCTTATATTAATGGTCGTTTTATAGGAAATAGTAGCCGACTGGTATTAGATGTATTTGAATATTTTGAAAATCAAAATCAGATAGGTGGCGCTATAATCTTTCTTGACTTCCAAAAAGCGTTTGATAGTATAGAGTGGAATTTTATGTATGAAACGTTGAAAAAATTTAAATTCAGTGATAAGATTATAAAATGGCTCAAACTTTTATACGAAAAACCTTTCTTAAACATTAAGCAAAATGGATGGTTATCAAAAAATATTGATGTTGAACGCTCATGTCGGCAGGGCTGCCCCGTTTCCGCAATGGCATTTATTTTATGTTGCGAAGTTATGAACTTAGCAATTCAGCAAAATAATGATATATCAGGTATAACTGTTGATGGTAAAGAATATAAGATGTCCCAATATGCGGACGATACTTCACTTTTCATTAAAGATAAAGAGTCATTGAAAAATGCTCTTAATACTATTTCCAATTTCTCAAAATTTTCTGGTCTGAAGTTAAACATAGAAAAAACTGAAGGCATTTGGCTTGGAAAAAATAAGGACTTTGAAAAGAAATGTGAAAATATAACTTTTACTGATGAACCAATCAAATATTTAGGAATCTTTTTAGGACACAACAAACAAAGATGTTATGAATTAAACTGGGAAGATAGAGTAAAAAAGGTAGAAAAATATTAGACAGCTGGAAGAACCGATACTTAACACTTTTTGTAATTTATGCAGCATCAGTATTATCTGTGCCACATGAGATTATAAAAAAAGTAAACAATCTTGTATTTAAATTTCTATGGGATGGAAAAAAGGACAAAATAAGAAGATCTATAATCATAAATAATATTAATAAGGGTGGAATAAATATGATTGACTTAGAGTCTCAAATACATGCACTTAAAGCAGCATGGATCCCCCGTTTGCATAATCAAAACATGTACAATAAAATCCCTTACTTCTATTTCAATAAATTTCTTCCAAATATAGATGTATTATTCAAGATAAATGATACTAGATTCAAAGAATTTGAAAATGTTCCACTTTTTTATCAACAAGTGCTGGAAGCACATTGTTTATGTAAATGCATCAAAAATATAAGAGATATGAAGCAACATGAACTCTTGCAAGAGGTTATATGGGGAAACAAATTATTCACCGTCAAAAATAAACCAATTTTCTTTGAATCATGGATCAAAAGTGGAATTATATACATAAAAGACTTGATAATTC